CATCTACTCCTATAGTTGATGCAACATCTTTTTGTCTTCAAACTATAGTTGGTTCAAATGTGAATGGATCAAATCACGCCATGAACGATTCATTTACATGCAATACTATAGTGCCCCTTAATTAATTGGGAAAAGTACACTTTACATACCTGTGGTTGTGGCCGTTTGCAATCAGGGGTCTGTGATGAACTTTGCAACAAACTCAAGCTTGTGCTTTCCTACCGTTACCACCCGCGAGGTCTAAGCGACTGGGCCGTTAGTAATACGCTACGTGACACTTTTTTTTTGCTTACGTGGCTTTTAATCCCAATCTATTAACACCATGTGTGATTACATGGCTTTTTATCCCTAGTCCATACCGTGTTAACCTATTTGGACCATATACGCATACGAAATCCATTCCCCTCTTCCACAAACACAAATACAAATTTGAAGAGATGAGTTCTTCTAATTCGAGCTCCTGTGCGATGGATGGAAGACAACAAATCAAGAAGTGCGGCTGTGGAGTCCAAGCTCCTATTTGGACGGCGACAACAGAGAAGAACCGGGGGAAAAAGTTTCATGCTTGCGGCCGTTATTCTCGAGAGGGCGAACAACAATGCAATTTTTTTGAGTGGGTTGAAGAAGATACGTGTTGTACTTGTCTGCATAACTTAGATGCTGTTATTGAGAAGGTCAGAAGACTTGAAGAATATGTCCAGATGAAAGAGTTGGAGATGGAGGGTCAAATAAAGAACTGTGTGCGTGAAATTGGTGTGTCGAAGGTTCAAAACATGGAACTGCAACTGCGGATGTCTAAGAATCATAATGTCACTTTTAAGTGGAGGCTGCTCTGTCTGGCCATGTTAATTTTCATGTTCTTTGCAAGTAGAAGATTTTAGGTCTAAGTTCTTTGCTAAGTTTTCGATGAAATGACCAAACCACGTGTAATTGTGTTTGGAGATTCCTTTAGTTTAATTTCATGTGAGACGTTTTGTTGTGAGTGATGTCCAATGTAATGCACCAATGTAAGAACCTTGTAAGGGTTGATGTCAGATTGTATGAAGATTTTGGCTGTAACAATTTGTGTGAACTTGTTTAATGTTATAGCAGTTTATTTCTCCACATCTTCTTTTGGTTAATGTTATAGTAGATATACTGGGAGTGCTGTGAACTTTTTTAACACACCTTCTGCTTGTCTGACATGAATACCCAATTAGTTTCTTCTGGTCTTCCAAAATCTTCAAACAACACTTGCAAGAACCAAGTCCATGAAGCTTTGTCTTCACTATCCACATAAGCTATAGCAAGAGGAAACATGTTTTCATTTCCATCCCTTGCTACATCACAAAGCAGTTGGCCTCCCATTGGTGTTTTCAAGTGGCACCCATCTAACCCAATTAAGGGTCTAAGACCTGCAAAGTAACCCTGCTTCTGAGCACTAAACCTCATGTACATGTATTGAAGCATTAGAATTTCCTTGGGTATTCTTGGTACACCCTCTGCAGCACCACCGTCTTCATTGACATCCCTAGCTTCAGTTTTGATTATTACAAGACTCCCAGGGTTGTATTTAACAACAGTTTCTGCATAATCCCTCAACCTCCTATATTGTTATTTGATATCTCCTTGGATCTTTGCCTTTGCTTTTCTTCTAGCTCTGTAACACTTTGCAAGACTCACCTCTGCCCTTAACTGTCTTTGAACTGACTTTTGCATAGCAGTGACATCCCACTCAGGATTTTCCCTCAACTCATCCATGTACTTTTTTGCCAAATAGCTACTAGTCACCAAGCTGTTTCTGTTACTAAAAGGGCATTCATGTTTGGGCCTGAATGTTTTTATTTGGAAGGACCCACATTCTGGAACTTTTGATGCATGAACCCTGAATGAACAAATGTCCTTGTTTTTGCAAACCACAGTGATTTTAGATCTATTGTTCTTCACAAATTTGAATTCAAATCCACCCTTGACTGCCCATTCCTTAAGAGCATTTCTAAAAGAGGTATGTGAGGTAAATTTCAAATCTTTGGATAATTCTGAATTTGTAGCTCCTGTTTCTTCATTGAACTCTTCATACTTTTCATCACCATCTTCAGATCCTACAATGCTATGCAAGTCATCACTATAGCATGGACTTTCATTAATCTCCTTAAGCTGCTCTTCATTCAGATCTTCTGGAAAAAAGGGGTTTGGTTCTGAAGGTTGGTCTGGACCTGGGGGTGGTTTTTGGCTTAAACTTGCAGCTCCATGATTAAATACATCATCTTCACTCCCTTCTAGGTCATCATATAGCCAGGAAGCTTCACTCGCTTCTAGGTCATCATATAGCCAGGAAGCTTCACTGATATTGGAATTGGAATGGTCATGTGAAGCACTTTCAGATCCACTTTGATTCACATAGTCTTCATCATCCTCATCACTCTGTAATTCAGTTTCAAGAAATGTAGTGGATTCACCCACAGATTGGTCTGCTTGTCGAGCTTGATCTTTATTTTGTAATTGAGTTGGGACTGAAGTGTGGGCTTCCTGTGAAGATTGGGTTGTTTCTTTTGCTAAAGTACCAACCACCCGTTTTTTACTTGTGTTTGCAACAAAGTACAAGTCAATGTGTGGGTCCATTATGTTACACACCAACATGTCTTGAACATCTTTATCACACACTATCTCTTGCAAGGTGACTGGTCCACACAACTCCCTAATTGAGAATCTTCTAAACCACATTTTTACCCCATTTGTATAACCCAAATCTGCTGCATATCCCTCCAATTCGAACTTGCTCACATAGTCAATGTCAACTTTATCTTTTTTCAAAACATGGCCTCCCACATACTTTTTCTTTTCTTTTGGACTGTCCCACTTTCCACCATGGTGAATTAACAAATTCACGTACTCACTCATACCAAACCTGCACATACATTCAATGCGGACAAACTACACTTTAATACCAAAAAAGAATGAAAATTTAAACTGCAACACAAACTTCAATACCCATTAACACTTCCAACGAACCCATTCGCACATTAATTTACCTACCAACCAGGTTTTCCAACAAGCGTCACACCCTAACCAAAATATGTAAACCAAAGAAACAATTATTGGAGTACTTACTTTCACGTGAAGACTCTAAGGACAAAAAACTACAATTCCATCTGCCAGTGCTTGCGTTATTGTCCTTTGTCTGCTTCGACCAACAATCTTTGTTCTTTCCCAACCGGAGGTGTAGAATCGAATGTGAGGAAGAATTGGGTTTTCTTCAGCCCTAATTTCACCTAATTGTAATTGGGTTTTCTTCAGCCCTAATTTCACTTAACTTTTGCATTTTTAAGTAATTAAAATAATACATCTTCATTGGAGCTTAGTTGGAAAAAAAAGTGCCACGTAGCGTATTACTAACGGTCCAGTCGCTTAGACCCCGCGGGTGGTAACGGTAGGAAAGCACAAGCTTGGGTTTGTTGCAAAGTTCATCACAGACCCCTGATTGCAAACGGCCACAACCACAGGTATGTAAAGTGTACTTTTCCCTAATTAATTAATTAATTAATTAATTTGGTAGATACTATTTTGAAGTTTATTAATAAATTTTTATTTATTAGATACTATATCTACCTGATTTCTCATTAGTTATATTTGATCAATACGGCAAAAATGGTAAATTTAGTCACATAACAACCCAATTTTGATTTGTAACTTTACTCACTCATAGATTTGAGACGTTTCTAATTGGATTAGTTTCGGTCTAAACCAGCCCGGAGAAAATTTAAATAGATTAGATCATATCAAATTAGACTCGACTAGACTTCGACAGTTGTAAAATACACACAGAACTGTCATCTACCATACCAGATCACAAAGTTTTTGTCCAATTAAAAACATCTATGATCTTGTAACTATTAAATTTTTACATATCAAAGAATTTTCTGATCTACTGGGAAGTACATTTTCTGAGGGAAAGTTGATGCTGATGCTTTTCTGATATTTTTTGCCAGGAAGTGTACTTTTGGTGGAAAAGCCCTTCAAATGGATAGATTTATTAGTTACATCACCAAATTTGTGAGTAAAATTACATGATTAATAGTGGTCACAACTGAAAGTTACAGATCTATTTGGAATGAAGTATTTTGATCTAGCAAATACCTATTTCATGTGTTTTTTGCTATGTTTAAGTGTGGTTTGATATGTCTCACTTTAATTGGAACTACTCTAATTAAAGTTTGATATATTAAAGTTTAATCTGATATAAGAATAAAATCTTTGAAAACATAGTAAAAGTCTAAAACCACATTTTACAAATTAAACACAAAAACTTATATTCCACACGACATAATCACTTATCTAGTTTTAATGCAAAAAAAATCACTTATCGAGTTTGCTAAGACCTTAATAACTTATCACGAAAAATATTTAAAAGTTTTTCATTTTACCAAAACTCTACTAAAATTATACTACTTCCCTCCCGAAATGAAGTTCTCATTCACTATTTATTAATCAACTTAAATCACTTCTAATCTTTTACTTTATATATCAAATTTTTATCAAATTTAAATTTTCTTGATCAGACTTTGTAGCGGTTTAATATTGTTTTGAATTTGTAAATTTTATTTACTAAAAATAATCTGAGTGTGAACAGAAATCGAGTTATTTTATCGTCAATCAAGGATGATATGAGAACTTCTCTAAGGGACGGAGGGAATACTACCTCGTACATGTTAAGTGGATTGCCATTTACGTATTGTAATAAGCGAATCCGAATAGGCTTTTGGCTGAACATTATACGGAGTATACTATTCACCTACCACTCTACCAGTCTTTTGTAAGAACACCTTTGCATACTTTTACTTTTTTTTTTGTTTTTTCCCATCAATTCAAATACGGAGTATAATATTCTTTCTTCGATTTTAATATTTTTTTTGTCCATATTCGCGGAAGTAAATACACCTGGAAATTATGTGTATGGAATGAAGATATGGATTGCCATCTTAATACAACACGTACGTACTAACTAACGTACAGCTTGTGATCGGAGAAGTGTGGCTTACCTTCGTCACCTCCACTGTGTATATTTAAACCCAAATACCAATTCAACCCGGAACTTCACATTCCCCATTCACCCATTTGATCGCTCTTTCAGCAACAAATTAGCAATGACCGAAAATGGAGTTTTTGCAGAGATTATTGAAGGAGAGGTCTTCAAGTTCTATTCAAATGGAGAGTGGAGGAAATCCTCTTCTGGGAAGTCAGTTGCTATCATCAACCCAACTTCAAGAATGGTTCAGTACAAAGTTCAAGGTTTAAACTTTCCCCCCACCTTGTGCAGCTCAAAATTCATGGTTTATTCATAGTAGTTTAATTTTTCATGTTCTTTCTCCACTATGCTTTTTTAGAGTTGATGGGTAAATTTTAATTTTTTTGGTTCTTCACATGTTGATGTCAGAGTGCCAATGTTTTATTATGTTGGTTTATTTGATGTTTTATTTTATCTTTCTTTAATTTGTTATGCATTTGTCTTAATCAGTTTGACCATGGTTTCTGTGACTAGCATGTACACAAGAAGAGGTGAACAAGGTAATGCAAGAAGCAAGAGCTGCACAAAAGTTGTGGGCAAAAACCCCACTCTGGAAAAGAGCAGAGCTTCTTCATAAGGCAGCTGCCTTTCTGAAAGAACACAAAGCTCCTATTGCAGAGTGCCTTGTGAAGGAAATTGCAAAACCAGCCAAAGATTCTGTAAATGAGGTAATTAATTGTGAAATGTGTGATCTTTACTTCTATGCTCCCTTTAATTGCCTCAAATTATATGTTTTTAAGTTTTGCCCTTGTTTATTAGTGTTGAATAGGTGAGGTTACATCCATCCTATACCACTTGATATTTGCAACGTTTTGTACCTGTTGGTTTTTCTGTGATTGTCTTTTTAAACATTTCTATACATATTAAGAAAATAATGGGTTTTCCAAAGTTAAGATAATAATATTATAATATGACTGAAACACATTTATTATTATTATTATTATTTTGTTTTTTGTTTGTTTTTACTTTTCATTTATGTTTAACTTTTTATTTATTTTTTGTTTTTGTTTCGACACCCTTCTTAATAGTTTGAAGTACTATTTAACATTTAAGGATCAAAAAGTGTTATGGTTTAGAATGAGCAATTAATGCTCTCTTGACATTCTAAAGTGATAGTTATTCAGAACAAAACCGTGTCTTCAAAGCGAGCCATTAAAGAACAAATAAAGTATACTTTTCGTTTTTCTCCTTTCTATATTATTATGATTGGGAGTGTGAGCAATTGAGTGATGGGTTGGACCAGATAGTTTAAATTGTGATCAATGCATAAAATCTGGGTAATTAATTGAGTTAACTGCACATTGTGATCCATGAAGGTTGTAAGGTCTGGAGATTTGATCTCGTATACTGCTGAAGAAGGTCTTCGGATTTTGGGCGAGGGAAAGTTTCTGGTATCAGATAGTTTCCCTGGATATGAGAGGACCAAATACTGCCTTACTTCAAAGGTAACTTCCCCACCTAGTTAACTTTATGTAGAAAGTAGAAATTTACGTAGACATTGATGGAGTTATATGCTTAACTTTGGACAATAGGCTTCAGCAGTAAATGCAAATTGCAACAAGTTACACTTTAAAATGCTGAATACTTTTGATATTATCAGGATTGGGTTGGGATTACTCAATTCGATGCAAATCATGTTAGCTAAAAGATCGAACCAAGTTGAGAGAATTCAGGACTCGGTTGGGGTCAATCCACTAGGCTATAAGGCACGCGGGCCAAACCAGATTGCCTATCTATTACCTAGTTCAACCTAAAGCCTTATTAACCTGCATTTTCTCTTTGATTGTCCGATGTGGGACTCTAACAAGTTTCTTTAAATGTTTGTTATCGATGGAACAGAGTTTTTCTAGTATAAAAGAATTGTGGTATGTATTAATCCTAATCTATATTGTATCTTTAGTAGAGGGTTATTTGGAGCCAAATAGAAGAAGATTAAGGTTGAGTAATATTTCCTATGGAAAAATTACTACATTTAACAGCATGATTTACATTTACAGGTTCCACTTGGTGTGGTTTTAGCCATTCCGCCATTTAATTATCCTGTCAATCTTGCTGTCTCCAAAATAGCACCAGCACTGATTGCCGGGAACTCTCTTGTTCTCAAGCCTCCAACTCAGGTACTGTTTTTTTTTTTCTAGAAGCAGTAAAAAGTGGCAACATACCTCCGAGTCTCAGACACTTTTTCCCCTCAACTTCTTTTAAGGTCTAGGATGAAAATGTAAAAACATTACCTAAGCAAAGGTATCTATATATTAAGAAACTTCATACATTAAGAAATTTAAATACCTTTCTCTTTCCTAGCATTAACTAAGCCAAATAAGCACATTTTGATGTAGGGTGCTGTGGCTGCCCTCCATATGGTGCATTGCTTTCACATGTCTGGTTTTCCGAAAGGGGTTATCAGCTGTGTCACCGGAAAGGGTTCTGAAATCGGAGATTTCCTCACAATGCATCCAGGAGTGAACTGTATAAGGCAAGCAGCCAGAACTTTCTTTGAATGCACTTCCCAATCTCTTTCCATTTTAGTTTGCACATCAATGTCCCCAGAAATATTGTATTTATATATCTTTGAAACTTTCTTGTTTTTTCTTTCGATCTTACCTTTAGGAGCCGCTTGGTTAGTTAACATGATAACCTTTAGGAAGGTAATACTTCATTTGGTAATAAAAACATAATGCAGAAAGTGGAGAATATTAAGAAGATAACTTTAACACTCCTTAAGAAGAAACCCACGAAAAGCCGATTGCCTCTAAACATTATACTCCCTCCGTCCCTGAATTTACTTCCGTAGTACAAATGGCACACGGATTAAGAAAGTAGGAATTGTGTGGTGGAGAGTTGTGCAGAGGAGAGAGAAATGTGTAAGAATGTGTAAGAATTGCTGTGAACCACAAATTCTTTGCCAAAAAGGGAAAGTGAAGTTCTTTTTGGGATGGATGAAAAGAGAAAGTTGGAAGTAAATTCAGGGACGGAGGGAGTAATAATTACGGAGTATATGATTATCCTATGTGGTAGTAGTATGAGCTTACGTTGATAATCTGAATTCTGAACTTCCTAACCAAATAACGTAATCTCACATCACTTCTGAAATCTTAAAACTCAAACCACACAAGGTTATATGACATTATCTTCCTAACATTATAAGGTAATCTCAGATAACCCTACCAAATTTATTTAGTCTATACCAATGTTGTATTTCCCCTTATATTTTCTTTCCTTCCAAATTTATCCTAAACTTTTTTATCCTTACTTTCTTTCCCCATCAATTTGAAGATCCAAACGGACCATTAACCTTCAGTACATAACTGTGCATTCATGTTTTTTCTTAAGCTTCACTGGTGGGGACACCGGTATTGCGATCTCAAAGAAAGCAGGTATGGTCCCACTGCAAATGGAACTTGGAGGAAAAGATGCTTGTATTGTGCTTGAAGATGCTGACATAGACTTGGCAGCAACTAATATTGCCAAAGGAGGATTCTCTTACAGGTGCATAAATATCTCAGTAAAACAAGTCTAGAAATGAGCATTCCTTGTTGTTGAGTAATGTTTATATTACTATGTTCTGTAACAGTGGTCAGAGGTGCACTGCGGTTAAGGTTGTCTTGGTGATGGAATCCATTGCTGACACTCTTGTTGAGAAGGTGACAGCAAAAATGGCAGAGCTTACAGTCGGAGCACCGGAAGATGATTGTGATATTACCCCAGTTATTTCGGAATCATCAGCAAACTTCATAGAGGGGCTGGTCATGGATGCAAAAGAGAAACAGGCGACATTCTGCCAGCCCTACAAGAGGGAAGGTAACCTCATGTGGCCCTTGTTGTTGGACCATGTCAGGCCCGATATGAGGATCGCATGGGAGGAGCCATTTGGGCCTGTTTTACCCATTATTCGGATCAACTCCGTGGAAGAAGGAATCAACCACTGCAATGCTAGCCATTTCGGCCTCCAAGTAAGATCTCCATGTCCGAGCAAACGCACTCCCATTTGTGTACCAAGCTACTTTGTAAAGAAAATAGATCAATGATATTGGATATAGTGACCAATTTTAAACAGTTCAGTCATAGTGACCTTTTTTTAAACAGCCCATTGACAGTGACCTGTTTGATTCACAAAGTGACTTGGTGTACATTGACACACTGGGGATATGTTTTGTCTTTTGCCCACAGTTTACTTCCCCATTAAGGGTCTATAGCGGGGGCATCGGGACCCCCAAAGCACCCTCCCATTAAACGTGCTTTCAGTGTTTAATCAGCATACTAATCTATCTTTGGTATATTTCACTAACTGAACTACAGGGATGTGTCTTTACTAAAGACATCAACAAAGCCATGTTAATAAGCGATGCCATGGAGGCAGGAACGGTGCAGGTCAACTCCGCACCCTCTCGGGGACCTGATCATTTTCCATTCCAGGTTTGATCTGTTTAATCTATTTAGTTGTGGTATGATCGGTTTTTATTTGGTATAATGTATTATTTATTATCATTTTATGCTGATCTAGTCTATTTAAGTCTGGTTTGGTGTGTTTAAATCTAATTTGTGACTGATATAAGGCCAAGTGAATAGGTTCGTGAAATATGGAACTATGGCCCAAAATATTGTTATTTTCCTTTTTAGCTGCTTTATAATAAAAACATAAATATGTTTTAAAACAGGGAATCAAGGACAGTGGGATTGGATCACAAGGCATTACAAACACCATTAATATGATGACGAAGGTCAAGACTACTGTCATCAATCTGCCTACCCCTTCTTATACTATGGGTTAATAAGGTTGCTGTTAGCATTATTCAGGCTATAAGTGGACATGATCTGTCCCACATGTACTATCGCCTAAGGGCATATCAATAAATGATATTTTAAGCTTTTACTCTGTATATTCCCAAATTTATATTTACCAATTTAAGTCCATAATATTATCATTTTTGGATGGAGAATAATCTAGGTACACTCTCACCCTTGACCAAGGTTTTGGCTCAGTCCCCTGTTGACCACCTCAAGTTATTATTAACCGGGAATTTCCAATAAGCATAGGTCAATGCATATTTTTAATTAGTAGGTCTACAAATCTTATTTTTTTGACAACCAACTGTATCTCTTTAATATTAAGCATTTAGGGGTGTTGGCAACTGCCTCGATCTCTTTCTTGATGAATTAGGGTTTACATATTTTTCTTGTTTCAAAACAAACTTTTATGAAGTAGTTTGCAACTGGTTGCCACAAAACCATCAAACACAGCACTGTCTAGAACATTAGGGATTCATCACTAGGACATACATAATATGTTTTTCACAAAATGGCATTGAACAACGTGTTCATTACAATTTATAATATCAGAATCTAGCAAAAAAGCAATTCAGCTCTTAGAATCAAATCGCATTACCCGTTTGAACAATACAGTTACACATGAGTAATGACCTCTCTGGCTTGAAAGGAGATGGCTTGATAAGCATTTAGATGGATACCGTAGTGTGGAGCTCGCAGCATAATGCCATAGTCACCATTGCCAACCGGTTCCAGATTTACAAACACACGCGACGGGTCAGAAGCTTCCCCATTCAGGAAGATAACATGCACAATGACCATCGCTTCGGTGAAGTTAGTCTCAGGTAGAGGACAGTGCAACTCAAACACATTGTCTTTGAAAACCTGACGAAACAGCCACCATGCCGATCCGTCCTTCTTCTGCAGATTGACTGTTGAAAAGGTCAACCCGAACTCTCTTGCATATTCAACAGCTGTTGCATAGTCATTTGGGCGCCAAACGGGGGCTACCGCAGTCGGAATACCAAAGATGTGACCTTCACCAGGAAAATACGGAATATATATTTGCTCAGCAAGGGTACTAGCAGCGTTAACGATTCCCAATTGTTGAATGGAAAAAGCAAAGCCAGTTGGAATAGGTAGCGTATTGCTCACTCTGGGCTTTGTAAAGTTAATGGCGTTCCTTTTTTAGGGAACTTCTGAAGCAATGATCGTCCGGATTTTCAGATAAGCAGTCAGGCATGTCTGGCAAGCTAGTTGAGTAGCGCAATCAGTGATTCGCTGCGTAGGAATTGGATTAGAAATTCCAGTCTTCAGCATAATCGAGCGAGTAAGGGTTCCAATCAAGGTGTTCAAAATGCCGTTGTAAAAGTTCGTTGGAGATAGCTCCACCAGGGTGGGTTCATACGAACATTGCTCGCGTGGGCGCCAAAATCCGACGAATCTGTTTTCAAGTAACTGTGCAGTATAATCAAAATTTCCAGCAGTTTTTTCTGGGGCGATGGGCATCTTGAATTGAATAATCTCACTTCTCAGAGCGTAGCTGAGACGTGATTCCAACTTCCAATGGACGCGCAGGAAGAGAGCTCTGGTCCGGCTAGATTGGTTTTGCTTATTCTTACATGGGACATCTTACATTAAAAAGTGTTTTTTAGAATTCACATCCAAAGTGATTAATACGAAGCATTAAACGTTGGTAGAGTTTTTTTTGAAAAAAAAAACGTTGGTGGTGAGATTTTTTTTGAAAACAAATAACTTAATTATTATTAATGAAGATGACAAGAAATATTACAATCATAAATCTCAAGGCTATAATGGAATGAGACATAGAAACGAACGATTCTAATCGAAAACGCCGAATCGCTAATCCCGCAAAGAAGTAGACTCTACCTGCAGATTGACTACTCCTGCTACGACGATCACAATAATTATCAAAAGAACTCTTAAATATCCCGGTTTCTCCAGTCACCGGTAAGGAGCCAACTGTAGAATTTGTTCCGGTTTCACCAGCCACCGAAAAGAAAGCAACCCAAATGATCTCATCTTCCTGGAACGGTGGAGGTTCAGGAGGGGGGCGATCCGTTTCAATATCGTCGCAGAAGAAAATCATATTTTTGATTGATGAAGAGATCAGTGCAAATCTCTTCTTAGCACACAAGAACGCCCGATCGAAAGTGGAGGGAAAATGGATCTGGCAGACGATATTTCGCTACCGAAAATAATACCTCCAAACAACGTTGGGAAAGAAACACATGAATAAAACTGAAAACACTGATTAAGAAGATGTTTTTCTATTATTGAAATCAAAGAAAATTGAAAGAAGAGAAGAAAAGAAGAGAAAAAGAGGAGGCGACGGCTAGGGTTTCCCCATGCCATTGCTGCTCCTCTTGGTGGTGCAGAAAATAAAAATTGATTTTTCAAAAGCCAAAGTTTGATAGTCAAGTATCTTGTGGTCTGATTGCATCACTGCTGATGTCTTAAAGAGAAGGTCGTAAGTTCGAGTCCTATCTCAATCAAGGATGTTGACATTAACATGAGCACATACTCTGATAGGTTTAGAAGAATTTTCCAAAAAAAAAGAAAAAGTTTGACAAGGGAAATTGTTCTAAATAGCACTAAACGAGTTTGTGTATTCCAAAATAGAACTGTTATGTTTTTAATCTCTAATAGGAGTAACTACTGACATATTTTGACCATGCCAGACTTTAAACATTATACTCCCTTCATCCCCCAATTAAGTTACCACTTTCCTTTTTGGGCAGTCCCTAAATTAAGTTCACACTTCCTTACTTTCCTTATTTGGCAAATTATCTACATCAAAACAGTGCAAAACAGTGACAAACAGTGTCAAACCGTGTTTGAACAGTGCAAAACAGTGCACTCCACAGTAAAGTCAAATTTATTTTCTTAATACGTGTGAAGTCAAACCGAGAACTTAATTGGGGGACGAAGGGAGTAGTATTTTCCAAGTTTGACAATAATTACTCCTATTAGGGCTGGGTCCGAAAAACAGAAAACCGAAAACCGAATCAAATTATACCGAACCGCGACCAAATATAACCGAACCGCTAAAAACCGAAACCGAATGTAAAAAACCGAACCAAACCGTAATAGTTTGGTTCGGTTTTGGTTTTTACCCTTCAAAACCGAACCGAACCGAACAAGCCGAACAAAAATAAAATATGAAATTTTATTTATTGAATGTAAGCATTAATCTTAATATCTTCAATAATCTTTGAATTTCTTGTGCTAGAGAAATAATGTTTGTGCTATGTTTAGTTTAGTTTAGTTTATAAATGCATTTATACATTCATTGCCCATAATAATACAACTATATTATTGATCTATTATGTCTTTCATGTATGTATGTTGTAATTTGTTGCACGATTATATGTTTTTACTGGTTATTAGTGGTAATTAACTTTTATTTTTATGTAACTTAATTTTCTTTTTGTAACTTAAATTTTTTATATTGATAAAACAAATAAATATTCATCTCAGTTATATAACATAGGACATATGTATTCATAAACTTTTTTCAAACTGGTCACAAACAATGTAAATTAAGAATAGATACACACTTTTATCTCTCTCGCATACTCATATAATTCAAGACATTTTTGTTTATTATTATTTTCTTTATTTGTTCAAGTATGCTTGCATTTTTATGTAATATGTTTGATCCCTCCAACTTTTATATCAATTTTAAATCAAATGATAATTTTTTAGTAAAAAACTGAAAAACCGAAACCGAACCGAAACAAACCGAACCAATCAAACCGTGGTTCCAAGTTTTGGAGTGTAAAACCGAACTGAAACCGAACCGAACACTTACTTTGGTTATGTATTTGGTTTTAGGTCAAAACCGAACCGAAAGAACCGAACCCACCTCTAACTCCTATTTAGGGAATAAAAACATGATAGTCTTATTTTGGAATTTTAAAACATTTTTATTCCTATTTCGGGAATTTTCCCATTTGATAATCACCACATTTGGATGATGAATGTGGGAATCCTACGTGGCATCGAAATTAGGGATGTTAACTGTAAATGACTTGAACGAAGCCCGCATCGTATCAAATATCTCTATCAAAATGGTGAAAACCACTCTCACCGGACAAGGAGTACGAGGTGGGGAATAACCATTATAGTTTTATGAGTAACAGACTGATAACGATTTTACACACCCGCTCGTTGCCCGCCCTGTCACCCACACGTTTAATTTTCCATCATTTTCAATGGAGCCAAAGATTCATTATTTTTTGGCTTGAGATTATGATGGAATAAAGCAAAATGACTCACTAAACTGTCTGCGCTTCTTTGTTATGGAGCAGCAGTCAGTCCATGCAATCTTGGACGTGATTTTCACTATGGGTCATCCGGAAACAGACTCTCTGTGCTTTTGTACAGGGGTAAGACTGCGTACATCCGACCCCACTTTACCCCACCGTAAGTGGGAGCCTTTGCGGCACTAGGGTAAATGAAAATGAAAATGAAAATTTTGGTTTCGTTCCTTTTATTATTTGTCCCACACAGAAAGAATGAACTTTCTCATTTTTATTGTATATATAGATGTCATAGCTACAATGAATGAAATTCATGAATCTCATTTGAAAGCCTATCTTGTACTCTCATATGATGCAATATATAATAGACCTTAAAAGAGTTGGATTTTATTATTATTGGATTCTTTCTTGATTAATAATTCTTTCGATTTAAAAATGTTTAGGCTTCAATTAATTTAGATATCTTCCACCTCGCCTTATGGGTGTACGAGTCATTATATTAAAATATCAATAATCCATTTAACAACACGGTTACTCGCGATTATAATTGTTACCCGTCTGTGGAAGATAAAAATTACATGTTTGGTAATGAGGTAGTTATGATGCGGGGAGATCACCCAACAGGTAGGGTTGCGATTCATCTCGTTGTCATCCCCGTGGACATCTAAAGTTAGTAGGCCACTTGTTCATAAATTAATTGGGCTTTCGAGATATTGTCATTGAGCCTCATTTTGTCTTATTGGCCCTCTTACGAATTTATTGGGCCAACGTCCTACTGGACTGTTAGTCAATGCTATTTGTCTTAACAAAAGGAAAATATTAATATGGATTCGTTCGGATAAAATTTAGTAATTAATTTAATTTGGGTCATTTAAGATATCCAATTAATTTAATTATAAATTAAATC